GAAGCTTGTGACTTTCATTCAACTTGTCGCCTGAAGGTCAAATGACATGAAGAATGGGAAAGGATTTTATGTGTGTTCAAATGTTGGGGCAGCATCTTATCACAGAGGACTTTCTGCAGGAGGACATGCACACTCCTCCTGGCACTGGATCAGCTGGGGATGCAACCCCTCCACAGCATCCCATCCACAGCAATGCTTCCAAACCAATGAGCCTTTCTTCAAGAGCAAGTTAGGATTTAATGGTATCTTTATCCAAGAAAGTCAGTGCAGAGAGAATGATCATAATCACCACTGTTTATTATAATCTAGGCAGCAGCCAGGCCACTTTCTCATTTTCTTTTTTTGTTTGTTTCGGTTTTGGTTTTTGTTTAGACAGAGTCTTGTTCTGTTGCCTAGCCTGGAGTGCAGTGGCACAATCTTGGCTAGCCTCTATATCCTGGACTTAAGCAATCTTCCTATTTCAGCCTACAGAGTGGCTGGGACCACAGGTGTATGGCATCACGCCATCTAATTTTTGTATTTTTTGTAGAGACGGGGTTTCTCCATATTGCCCAGGCTTGTCTCAAACTCCTGGGCTCAAACAACCTTCCCACCTCTGCCTCCCAAAGTGCTGGCATTACAGGCATGCGCCACTGTGTCTGGCCCACTCTCTCATTTAATCCCTGCATTGAGAATAATCTCCTTTCTACAAATGAAGCACTAGATGCTCAGAGAGTTTGGGTGACTTGCCCAAACCACACAGCCAGTAAGTGGTGGAGTGGGCTGTGAACTAGGACTGCCTGACAACTAAAACTATGCCCTAGGTGTAGGCTGCCTCCTGAAATCGCTTCACAGGGAAGCAGCAGGTAAGTGTGGTCCTGACTTCTAGGCAAGGAGACTCATCTTCTTCCTTGACTGAACATCGAATAGCATCCCCCCCACAAATGGAGGGACTAACTTGTCATTAATAAGACATCCAGGGACTCTTTCCTTTCTAAGGAACATCACCACGCTCAGCAAGCTGCACAATCTGCCATAGCTGTGTTCTGAGAACTTCTGTTAATAAACTAATATTAATTACGGAGATGATGAAATCAAAATGAAAATTCCAAAATAACTTTACCCGCAACCCATGCTGACACTGCATCTTGCCGGGAGTATCTGGTTCGAAGTAGTCAAGGGCTAGAGCTTGAAAAAGGAACAAACTCAACCTGAATTTGGGAGGAATTTCCAAAGATTCAGAGCCAACTCCCAACAGGGAGCTCTCAGGGTTCAGTGAGTGTCCTGAGTGTGCTGTCTGTGACGCTGGCTAGGCCAAGCCGGATGGTTCCTCATGAGAATGTCGTGGACTGTGTCTGCTGTCTCCAGTCTACAATGCAAATCATCCATGAACAACTGTGCAGAGTTTCTAAATCTTCCATTTTTCTGTTATTTCTGTATGTACTTATTGATTTTGTTGTGTAACATGTAAAAAATGGGTTCCGTATTTTGTGTTTCATTATCTTCATAATTAATATTACTTTATTTACAAAGGTGTAGGTCTGGGCTGGGTAGAAAATGAAAACTGTCCCTTCACCAGGGAGTCTGAGAAGCCCCGTGTAGGATTCATCTAACTCAGGCATTGGAATCTACCTCCTGTGGTCACTTTCAATCCCAAAATCTGCTGAGAAACTGAACTTGGTCAGGGAAACCTGAGAATAACCATGAGGAATGGAGAAGTCCCTGTGCCACATTTAACATGATTTGAGCTGATCGTGTACGTTGCCTGTCCCCATATGATCCAGCACAGTGCAGGTGCATTTTGTGGAAGATAAAGCTCAGTGGGTTAGCAGGGCTTGCCTGAAGGTGCTCAGACTGTTAGAGGCTCACATTTCCATCCAGAGACCAGTCTCTTAAACTCCCAGTTCAATCTTCTACCCCAGTCCCTTATTCCAAAAAACACACAGGAACCAGAACCAGAATCAAGTCTAAGTGTTTAATTATGATTCACATATTTCACAGGAAAAGGAATGCAGCAAATGGGTCAAGGTTGTATCAAAAAAGCAAAAAATCCTGGATTTTACTAATCAATCTATATTTGGGAGCAGGGTTGTCCCAGCATCAGGCACAGCAGCTGCACTTGTCCAACACCCCTTTGCAGATGCAGCCCTGGGCACACTTGGCACAGCCCACAGGGCAGCAGGAGCAGCAGCCTGAGGAGGAAGGGAGAGTGAGAGGTCACAGCAGAGTCGACCAGAGACCTCCCTGCCCGAACAGAGGCCTGTCTCCATCCCTGCCTCCAGACCCTGAGGACCCTTAGTTGAGGATGGCATGGTTTTGTCAGGAGACAACTGGTGCCACTGGGGTGGGTCTTCCTATGAGAAAGCTTCCCCATCCCACATAAGCCCTGGAAAGGTCAGAAGACTAGACAGGCAGTGATGGCCTACAGGGACAAAGGAAGGCCAGTTCCTGAGAAGCATGCACTCAGGGCCAGCCTTGGGTTCCCTCCCAACCTTAGCCACAGCCCCAGATTCCTGGAGATGGCCCCGCACTCACTCTTCTTGCAGGAGGTGCATTTGCACTCTTTGCACTTGCAGGAGCCAGGGCAGGCGCAGGAGACACCTGCAAGGAGAGAAAAAGCCACGCAGGGGTGAATGAGATGCAGAAGGTGCAGCAGTGGGTCAATAATTGTCCGGTTCCCCCTCCTCTGTGAAGGCCCAGCCCTCAGAGCTGCTTTCCCACTAAGAGCAGAGGAAGAGAAGCGCCATGTCCTCTCCCTTCATGCTGGGAAAACCAAGCACCCGCCTATTTGTATTCCAAAGGAAAGTCCCAGGCTCCTATATGGCCCAGGAAGACTGCGACTTCAACTTTCTGTCCTGAACCCGGAAGAGGCAATGTCCCCTCCTACCCAATGCCTCCATTCCAATCCAGCTGCTAAGAGTCAAGTTAGAGAACTGGGGCTTAGCCAGCAGCCCTGTGACCAACCGGGTGACATGGAGCAGGACAGCCTTGAGCCTCAGGACCCTCAACTCTGACACAGATGCACAGGGAGGAGGGACATGCTCTCAGGAGCTTGGCCAAAGGAAAGCACTGGACGAATAAAGGAGTCCTCTTCAGCTCAGATCGCAAAATAAGACCTCCTCAAACCCAGGGACACTCTCCATGATGTCTGAGAATTCGGCATCCCAATGCGCAGAACCCGGGCGCCCCTTACCAGAGGCGCAGGAGCAGTTGGGGTCCATTGCAACAGGAGGCAAGAGTGGAGTTCCGAAGCGAGAAGAGAAGAGGCAGTGGTGGACGTGGAAGGCGTGGTGGAGCCCAACAGCCAGCGGCTGCATTTATAGTCAAGAAAGGCGGCCGGGCGCAGACGCCCCGCCCCGCCCTTGCACCCGCCCGGCCGAGTCAGCACCGCCAGCTGTCCTGGGCTGGGCTGTGCGCAGCAGATGCGCCAGGTGCAAGTTCCTTGAGCGCAGCTGGGTGCACACCGCAGGATCGCCCCTTTCGCAATGGCTCGCGAGGGAGGCGCTGTGCACCCGGGTGCGCGGCTTCTCTCACCCTGCGGGGCCTTCCAGCTTCCCTGAAGTTGCCTACTACACCCGCCCCTTGGCGTTCCGACTACCCCAGTATTCTGGATTTCCCCCCACCCCCACCAACGCCCAGGTCTCAAGTCGATAGCTAAGTCTTTCCTGGAGTCGAGGGCAATCCCAGTCTTGTGCTCCACTTTCTGGATCTGACAAAGCAAGGAGCACAGCAAGGCAGTAGTGTGCAAAGGCAGGCCAAGGGTGCAAACTTCACATCTCTGGCCTTATCTGCCCTGTCCCGGTTATTACCTCAGTCCTTTGGCCACATTTCTCCTGTGCACAGCAACACAGAAGACATAGGGCTCTGCCTCTCTCTCTTCCATTCTCCACTCTTGAGGGGCTGAATGGGCCACATTTGTCCAGGTCCTCCTTCGCATAAATCTCTCCAGGGTCTCCCCACAGACTGGCCAGGTACCCCACTACAGGATGGCAGTTTTGAATGTGTGAGATGTCCCCAGAAGAGGGATCATTGAAGGTGATATGAAGATCCTGCATAAAATTAGAAAGCAAGAGAGCTGCTTATTTTTCCTTCCATATTCCTATTACTCTACATTACACAGGTCCGTGTTTGACCGTTTAGTCACTTTCTATCTTTGAACTCTCACAGCAACCCTAAACGAACATGAGTTCTATTCGTGAACCCGTATTCCTAATCTGGACAATGACAATACAAGGAGTTCAAGCCACTAGCCCAGGGTCAGAGGGCTGGGAAGTGGCACTGCTGGGTGTGAATCCTGTCAGCTTCTCAAGGGAGAGAGGTCAGTGATGAAGCTTCCCTATGGCCCAGGTATGTTCATCTCTTCACTGATTGAAATCTTTAAACAAAACCAAGCATCAAGGTCAGTCCTAGAAGCAAAACAGAGACATAGAGGGATATGAATAAGCATACTTTGATGGGAGGGAGACAGGGCCTTGTGTCTTCCGAGTAGCTGTGCACAGGAGAAACGTGGCAGAAGAACTGAGGAGGGGAAGGGGAAAGGGACAGGCAGTGCCAGAGATCCGAAGGTCGCATCCTCCGCCTGTCCTTTGCACACTACTCCCTTGCTATGCTCCCTGCTCCCGCCAATCCAGACAGTTGAACAAGAGACTGGGGTTGCAAGGCTTAACTGTTGGCAAGGGGGTGGGCAGGCTTCGGGGTGTGGGGCGCACGCAGGTCAGGGTCTCGGGCCATGCAGAACGCCAAGGGTGGGGGAGTAGCAGGTAATCTCAAGGAATTGGGCAGACTGGGCAGGGTGAAAGAAGCAGCTAATCCGGGTGCACAACGCCTCCCGCGCGAGCCGGTGCGAAAGGCGGAGGCCAGCGGTGTGCACCAACCTGCACTCAGGGTGCTTTGCGCCCGGCACCTCTGCTGCACACAGCCCAGCCCAGGACTACTGGCGTCTTGGACTCAGCTGGTCCCGTGCAAGGGCGGGGCGGGGTCTCTGCTCCCGGCGCCTACCCCTGACTACAAAAGGAGCCGCCAACTGTTGCGCTTCACCACATCTTACACGTGTTCCACTCCCTCGTCCCTTTTCGCTTGGGAACTCCAGTCTCGCTTCAGGTTGCGATGGACCCCAAATGCTCCTGCGCCGCTGGTAAGGGACGCCCGGGTTCTGTGCCTTGGAATGCCAAATTCCCAGACACCACAGAGAGTGTCCCTGGGTTTGAGGAGGTCGTGTTTTGCGATCTGAGCTATAGGTGACTCCTTTATTCTTCCTTGAGAAAGATTCTTCCTATTCTTTCCTCTTGGCCAAGCTCCTGAGAGCGTTGCCCTGCTCCCTGTGCCTCTATGTCAGAGTTGAGGGTCTTGAGACTCAAGGCTGTCCTGCTCCACATCACCCCGTTGGTCACGAGGCTGCTGGCTGAGCCTCAATGCTCTTAACCAGGCTCTGAGCCGCCGGATTGGATGGGAGGCATTGGATAGGAGGGGACATTGCCTCTTCGGGGTTCTTGACAGAATGTCGAAGTTGTAGTCTTCCCGGGCTGTGCCTGGAGCCTGGGACTTTCCTTTTGAATAAAAACAGGAGGGTGTTTGGCCTTCCCAGCATGAAGGGGTTTCTCTTCCTCTGTTGAGTGGGAAAGGAGCTCTGAGGGCTGGCCCTGCACAGACGAAGGGACACTGGACACTCATTGACCCACTGCTGTACCTTCTGCATCTCACTCACCTTTCACTGGCTTTTGCTCTTCCTTGCAGGTGTCTCCTGTGCCTGCCCTGGCTCCTGCAAGTGCAAAGAGTGCAAATGCACCTCCTGCAAGAAGAGTGAGTGCGGGGCCATCTCCAGGAATCTGGGGCTGTGGCTAAGGTTGGGAGGGAATCCAAGGTTGGCCCTGAGTGTGTGCTTCTGGGGAACTGGCCTTCCTTTGTCCCCCTAGGCCATGACTGCCTTTCCAGTCTTCTGCTCTGTCCAGGGCTCCTGTGGGGCTGGGCAGTCTCTCATAGGAAGACTCACCTCAACATCCACCACTTGTCTCCTGACAAAGCCACACCATCCTGAACTAAGGATCCCCGGGGGCTGGGGTCTGAGCTCGAGTTAGGCCTGCTGTTGGGACAGGGAGCTCCCTGGTCAAGTCTGCTGTGACCTCTGTCTCCCTTTTTCCCCAGGCTGCTGCTCCTGCTGCCCCTTGGGCTGTGCCAAGTGTGCCCAGGGCTGTATCTGCAAAGGGGCGTCAGAGAAGTGCAGCTGCTGCGCCTGATGTCGGGACTGCCCTGCTGTCAGATGAAAACAGAATGACACGTAAAATCCAGGATTCTGTTTTCTACAACCGCGACCCATTTGCTACATTCCTTTTGTCTGTGAAATATGTGAATAATAATTAAACACAGACTTGATTCTGGTTCTGGTTCCTGTTGTATTTTTTGGGAATAAGGGACTGGGGTGGGAGATTGAACTGGGAGATTAGAGACTGGGCTCTGGATGGAAATGTGAGCCTCTAACAGTCTGAGTGCCTTCAGGCAAGCCCAGTTACATCACAGACCTCCATCTTCTGTAAAATGCACCTGCACTGTGCCGGATCATGCTTCCATATGAGCATGGAGACATACGCGATCAGCTCCAATCATGTTAAATGTGGCACAGGGACTTCTCCATTCCTCATGTTTATTCTCAGGTTTCCCTGACCAAGTTCAGTTCCTCAGCAGATTTTAGGCTTGAAAGTGACCACAGTGGGTGGATTCCAATGCCTGAGTTGCTTGAATCCTACACGGGGCTTCTCACACTCCATGGCGAAGAGACAGTTTTCATTTTCTATCCATCCCAGATCTAAACCTTTGTAAATAAAGTAATATTAATTATGAAGATAACGAAACACAAAATATAGAACCCACTTGTTACATTTTACACACAAAAAAACTCAATAAATACACAAATAACAGAAAAATGGAAGATTTACAAACTCTGTACATATGTTCATAGATGATTTGCATTGCAGACTGGAAATAGCAGACTGGCCCCACTGTGGACCACACACCTTCAGCAGCACAGGCCAGGACATTCTCATGAGGAACCATCCGGCTTGGCCTAGCCAGTGTCACAGACAGCACACTCAGGATACTCGCTGAACCCTGAGAGCTCCCTGTTGGAACTTGGCTCCGAATCTTTGGAAATTCCTCCCAAGTTCAGGCTGAGGTTGTTCCTCTTTCAAGCTCCAGCCCTTGACTATTTCAAACCAGCATGCTCCTGGCAAGACACTGTGATTGTGGGTTGCAGATGAAGTTATTTTGGAATTTTGCTTTTGATTTCATCATCTCTACAATTGCTAATACTTTATTTACTGAAGTTCTCAGAACACAGCTATGGCAGATTGTGCAACTGTCTGAGTGTGGTGATGTTCCTCAGGAAGGAAAGAGTCCTGGATGTCTTGTTGATGACAAGTTAGTCCCTCCATTTGTCGGGGGGATGCTATTTGATGTTCGATCCCTAAGGAGGAAGGTGAGTCTCCTTGCCTAGAAGTCAGGACCACACTTACCTGCTGCTTTCCTGTGAAGTGATTTCAGAAGGCAGCCTACACCTAGGGCATAGTTTTAGTTGTCAGGCAGTCCTAGTTCACAGCCCACTCCACCACTTACTAGCTGTGTGGTTTGGGCAAGTCACCCAAACTCTCTGAGCATCTAGTGCCTCATTTGTAGAAAGGAGATTATTCTCAATGCAGAGATTAAATGAGAGAGTGGGCCAGGCACAGTGGCTCATCATGCCTGTAATACCAGCACTTTGGGACGCAGAGGTGGGAAGGTTGTTTGAGCTCAGGAGTTTGAGACCAGCCTGGGCAACATGGAGAAACCCCGTCTCTACAAAAATTACAAAAATTAGATGGCGTGATGCCATACACCTGTGGTTCCAGCTACTCTGGAGGCTGAGTAGGGAGGATCACTTGAGCTCAGCATGTAGAAGTTGCAGTGAGCCAAGATCGTGCCACTGTATTCCAGGTTGGGCAACAGAACAAGACCCTATCTCAAAACAAAACAAAACAAAAAACATAAACAAAGCAAAACAAAAAACAAAGAGAGAGAGAGTGGCCTGGCAGCTGCCTAGGTTTTAATAAGCAATAGCGATTATGATCATTCTCTCTGCACTGACTTTCTTGGAAAAAGATACCATTAAATCCTAACTTGCCCTTGAAGAAAGGCTCATTGGTTTGGAAGCATTGCTGTGGATGGGATGCTGTGGAGGGGTTGCATCCCTGGCTGATCCAGTGCCAGGAGGAGTGTGCATGTCCTCCTGCAGAAAGTCCTCTGTGATAAGATGCTGCCCCAACATTTGAACACACATAAAATCCGTTCCCATCCTTCATGTCATTTAACCTTCATGCAACTTGTTGAATGAAAGTCACAAGCTTCAGGACAGGGACAAAAAATATTCAGGGGCTGGCGTGCTTGAGTCATCTTTCAGAGGAATTAAACAACCTGCCCAATGCCACACAGCTGAGAAGGAAAGGGATGAATGAACCTATGGTACAGCTGGCCTCTGTCCCCGCCCACAGCTGGCAGATCATGCCATCCCTGGATGCCGAACCCTGTCCATCTCAGTTCAAAGCTATAAGGGACATTGGAGATGAACAAATTTTGCTCTTGGCCTGACAGAGAGCAACTGAAGCCCAGAGAGGTCATGGCTATGCACAGGGATCTGATCGCTAACTCAACGTGCTTCCACTGCTGCCTCCAGCCAGACATTCGGCGTCCTCATCTTTGTGTTGACTTAGTGGCATAGAGCACAGGGTAAGGACATGATGCTGCAGTCAGACTGTATAAGTATGAATCCCAGCTCTGCCACTATGTGTGTGACACAACCTCTGTGTCTCAGTCTCATCAGCTGGAGTATAATAATATCTGGTTTGTAAAATTGAAAGTTTTGATTCATGGAAGGAACTTAAAATGGCACCTGGCCAGGGGTGAGTCATCTATAACATTAACCGCTCCTTTTTTTTTTCCTCATTACATATAGCATGGGGGATATTTATTTACTCACAGACAAAACAGCCAGGCCAGATATGCTTATTTGTGTATCCCGTTATTCTCATCTACTACGCAAACATGCGTCCTGTGATCAAAAGGGACATTTGCTCTTCCCATATAATATTAATCAACTCTAGGGACATAGAGATATAAGCAAGATTTTATGCCTCATGTCAGATAAAAAGAATCTCATTTCTGCACTCACAGTACTATATTTTACTTAACATATAACATGGAAGTGATTGATATTTTCTTAAATATTATTTTTTATTTAAAGCAAACACTTTTCCACCAGTGAAAATGAAAATCAGTTTTATTCCACACACAGAAGATAGTCAGAAAACGCCGAGCACTGTGGCTCACCCCTGTAATCCCACCACTTTGGGAGGCCGAGGAGGCCAGATTACCCGCGGTCAGGAGTTCGAGACCAGCCTGGCCAACATGGTGAAACCCGGTCTCTACTAAAAATACAAAAATTACTGGGCATAGTGGCACGCGCCTGTAATCCCAGCTACTCTGGAGGCTTAGGTAGTAGAATTGCTTGAGCCCTGGGGACAGAGGTAGCAGTGAGCCGAGATCATGCCAATGCACTCCATCCTGGCCGACAGAGGGAGATTCCTTCTCAAAAAATAAATAAATAAATAAATAAATCTGTCAATAGAGAAGTGCTGACAACAGACTTGGGCCCAAGGAAGGCTTGATCTTGGACATCGTCTCTTAAGAGGCTGGCTAGATTCAAATCAGTGACAAGTTTTCAGCTCTGCAATGTTGAGCAAGTTACTTAAACTTCTTGTTACAGCTGTCAGATTAGTAAAACGGGTTCATAAATAGTATTTCCCATTAGGATTGTTGGGAGTGTTCAAACAATGAATGATTTAAAGAGGTCTGTCTCATTCTAAATGTTACATGATAAGAACATTGAAGAGAAATATCCACTTCTGTCCTTGATTGAAAGCAGGGTCTGCATGTCACCCAAAGTCATCCTCTTTGGAGGACATCCCTCATTTTTAAAACTGCCATCCTGCAGTGGGGTGGCCGGTAGGCCTGGGGTAGTCCCAGAGAACTATATGAAAAGGAGGACACTGACAAGTGTGCCCGCCATCACCTCAGAGGAGGAGCATGGAGGGAAGAGAGAGAGGCCGACCCGTGGTCGCCATGTTCTGTATACAGAGGCAACGAGTTTGAGGGTCCTAGGTAGGAAGAGGTACAGGCAATGCAGGGGGAGGGCGAGGGAAAAGCAAAAGTCACCTCCACTGCCGTTCATGTGCGCAAGGCTCACTCGCTCTGCTCCCCGCTCCAGCCAGTGAAGAAGGTGAGCACGAGGATGGAGCTGTGCACGGACCCGGGAGAGTCGAAGCTGATGGTGACGGTGCAGGGCGAGAGGAGAGAAGGGGTTGGGGAAAGCGCGACCACCTAGGAATGGGAAATGGCCCTCAGGGTGGCAGGGACAGAGTACTTCTGGCAGGACAGCCCCTCCCGTGCGAGCGGGCGCCAAAGGGGCGGACCCAGGGAGACCACCAAGCTGCACTCAGGGGACTGTGCGCCCGAACCCCCTACTGCGTACCGCCCACCCCAAGACCGCGGGCCCCGCGGATTCCGTGTGGTGGTGGGGGAGGGGGTGCTCTGCACCCGGCCCCCTCCTCTAACTATAGTTGAACTCCAGGTTCCTAGAATCCACCACGCCTCCCACCTGCCCCACTGCTTCTTCGCCTCTCCCTTAGGAACTCTAGCTTCACCTCGCCTCCTCATGGACCCCAACTGCTCCTGCTCCACTGGTAAGAGATACCTGGTTTCGAGGCCTTAGGATCTCCATTTTGATTCCAGAGGATAGAATGTCCCCAGGGCAGGAGGGAGGTGCATTTTGAGCTCTTCCTAAAGTGAACTCCTTTACTTTGCACTTCTCGTGCTTTTTCCCCGTCAAGGGCCTTCATCACCACTTAGAACGCTGCCATCTTCCCAGAGCCTCCCATTTCTGAGAAGACTGAGGCTCCAAACTGCCAGGTCACCCAGATAGCCAGTGGGGTCCTGGGCTGGGACCCAGTGCTCTGTCCAGCATTAGAGCTGCCTGAGGTGGATGGGAGGCAGGAAGCATTGCCTCTAAGGGATTCCTGACAGAAGGCCTTGTGGAGTAAAATTAGGAGGGCGCCTGCCCATCCGAGCCTGTGTGGAGAAAAGATGGGGCTGGGCTTCCGTGTGCCTGAGCAGAACAAGGTACCAGGTATCCCGTGCACTGAGCAGGAGGATGCTGAGGGCCTGCTCCTAACCCTGCACCACACTCACTGCTCACTGCCTTTTTCTCTTCCTTGCAGGTGGGTCCTGCAGCTGTGCCGGCTCCTGCAAATGCAAAGAGCGCACATTCACCTCCTGCAAGAAGAGTGAGTGCGGG